AATTTGCTTCTAGGAAGACGTTGACTCACTCTGACTTCCATTATGCAAAATATCCACAGGAATCTCTGCTCTTAAGATTCATATCAGTCCCTGTGTTCCCTTCTTACCTATTTAATCATCAGTTCAGCGAGTGTTTATGGCAGGATTTGATTTGTGCCAGACACCAGGCCTGGTTTAGGATAACGGCTCTATGCTTTGCTCAGCCTGAACAGGTGGTTGGCAAAAGCTCTGAGTGAAGGTGGTTGGCTGCTTCCAGACCAGAGGAGGGTATCTTTCTCGGCTAGAGAGGGTGTCCTCTAAGATTGGGTTTGAGAAGGTCCTGCGAAATGCGGGGAGTGTTACTGGAGAATGGTCAACAACATTTCACCACCTCTGGGCTCTCTGAGGTTCTTTGAGACTTGGGGAGGGATTTCAGAGATCCCTGAGAGGAAAGACAGGAGAAAGGAATGAAGACCGATGCTAAGGAGTGTGATGGCCTCAAAACCCTGGCAAAGAGCTGCCAGGAAGAAGAGGAGAGGAGAACTGGGCTTGGCATCGGGGCCTTGGCCTGACAGTTCTCTCCACTGTGGTTCAGAGCCTGGCCTACTGAGATTCTCTCTGTCCACTAGAAGCCCATATTTACTACTTCATTTCCTAACCCTTCTTAATTAACTTTGACATCACATGCAAGCACATATCCTGGCTTTCCCGACTCTCAGTTAAGTGAACTCAAGTTACAACTGAACAATGAGAAGATTGATATAGTGTACAGGACTTCTATAAAGTACCCGGCACAGCACCAGAGCATTGGGTTGGGACATAGAGCTGACACCAAGTGTCCACTCCATCTCAGGCACCATGCATTGATTGATTCATTTAATCTTTTTAACCTCTTAGCGTAGGCGTGGATGTGTTGAAGAGCAGAGACTTGGAGCCCATGCCCTACCTCATGATCCTGATGTTGGGCTTGATCACCGTCCTGTGTCTTCATGTCTAGAATTGGGGAAAGGTATCCCCTTTACACTTAGGTTGTGTTCACAGTCGTTGAGAGACTACCTGGAGAGCATTTAGCATAACAAGCCCATAAAGTCAGCATAGCTGGTAAAGGGGCAGGCAGAAATGTTGTGCTGTGAGACAGGATACAACGAGAACACCAAGGACTTGGTGGCTTTCTTTATCTTGATGCCCTCTCAGGTGCTTCTGAGCAGCTGAGAGAACCCCATGGAGCACTGTTGTGTGCAGAAGCATTTAGGAGTACCTGGGCCTAGTCTGTAGCGTGATTTACAGAAATGCTGGATATCTAGCTGGGTGATTAGCATCTCAGGCCTAGCCTGGTGGTTTATTGTTCCAATCCTGAGTGCATAGCCCCACCTGAAGATCTGTCTGGCCTGGAAGGACAGCACTGTTTTCCTGAGTCAGGGTGCTTAGCCTTTTTTTTCTTACTGCATTCATTTGCAGTCCAGCTGAAGTCAAAGACTCATGCCCTAGAAAAAAAATGTTTAAGTGCACAAAATTTATAGATGCATCAGTTGTGATATAAACCATTATTTTGAAATTCAGTTTTCAAAGTATAAAAAGTTTGCTCTAGAAATGACATTTGTAATGTATTTAAATAACAAAAATTTAGTGATGAGTATAGTGACCACAGTAGCTTTGAAATAGAAGAATAAATGTTCTGAAATATCTTTGGCCCTTACAGAATAACCTATTTTAGCTGGCAGAGTCATAGAGCTAGCCCTAGTGCTTATGTTGTTTGTGGCAACTACAATAGAAGTGAATGGTGGTTCCAGTTAGAGGCTAGTGAACAGAAGATGAAGATGCACAGGGTTTCTGGTCACATTTGTGTATCCCCTATATGTGTTGGTAAGGTTGAAAAGATTGTCTGTGAATAGCAGCGGCCACTTTTTCCTGAGCTGGATATTCTCTTCAGCATTTGGAAAATTCTTAGTTCTGGTTGCACACTGCTGGTAGGCTATACACATTACCTTGGTCATTTTAACGTTATTATTTTTGAGTTAATTTGAAATTCATAAAAAAGTCCTAAGAATAAACGGGTTTACCTATTCTGAGTGATCTGAAAGTTGCTCCATGAAGCCCTTGTCACCTCTGAGTCCTGTAAGCAGGCGTTAACCAACAGCAGGAAATGCGCATAGACTCTGCAGTGCCTTCTCAGACTTATTCACAGCTCTTGAGCTGCCTCAGGAATACTTTACATTAAGGATCCGATTTAGGATCCCGTCTTGAGATTTCCAGTCTTGATTCTTTAGTCTCATAGCTTTGATCCTTTGAAGTATGCAGATCAGTTCTGTGTTCATATGGGACAGTTTGCTTAATGTTTGGTGATTTGATTTAGTTGGTGCATCTTTGGTGGGTGTGTCAGCGTTGTGGGATATTTGATTGTACTGTGAAACTCTGAGACTGTGTTAACAATATCAGCCTTGGATCAGGGGGTGGAGCCAGTGACTGGTTGACAGGAATTAGCCATCGAGAGTATGGAAGACCTAGGAATATGGATAGAAAGAAGCACACAGGAAGGAGTAGGAAGGGACTTGGAGATTTGCAGGCTTTTTTAGTTTGGGGATGAATGGAGAGATACTATCCTGCCAAAAACGAAGGTCAGCTGGTTGCCTTTCAGCCCCTGTGGGCTAGCCAGTTTTTACCCCAACACGTGGCTCCCGAGTCTTTATTGGTAAGTAGAACAATAGAGACTTAGTTAAAAACTGCATTTGGTGGCAATGGCAGTACTGGTGCTGGTGGGACTAGAAGTCCTACCAGGTCATAGCCTGAGCGGCATAGTAGTGATAGTAGTTGGGGGTGGGGTGGGGAGACCAGATGATAATTAAAATATTAGTAGATTCAGGTTCACCTGCTGTGCCAGAGGTAAAACATGTCAGAGTGGTGATGCTGTGTTCACACCTTCTCTTCTTCCATGATACACAGTTCATGTGTTTAGTTACTAATTGTGCTGGCTTTGTTAAGTTCACAAAGACTATGTCTTCAGGAATCTGGACAATCCAGTTTCCCTTTTTCCTATGTACAAAGGAAGACTATCAGGGTAGTGTTTTGAGTCTGTAAATAATACTGATCTCCAAACACTCACTCACCCTTTAGTTTTAGCATCCTTTTATGTCCGTTGGCCAATTTGTTTATTGCAGTGATGACTGCCAAATGGTTATGTTTTCTAATTCCATCATCCTCCCCTCACTTATTAATTACCATTTTACTGTAAGGAAAAGCCTCTTGTCATGTAGTCATTTGTATTAATTTTTGACTTTGTGACTTTCTATCTTATGTAATTATTTTGATGTTCAAACTGTCTCATGTTTACCTGGCAAGAGCTTTTTTGAAAATGACCTCAGTATCTTCTGGACAAAGTTTCATCATTATTTAGCCATTTATTTATTAGCTTTGTGGGATTATAATTGAAAACATCAAGTTTTGGTGGACGAGGGTGTAGTTCATTGACATGTGGAGTGCTTGCCTAACATTCACAATTCCCTGGGTTCAGTCCCTAGCACCAGTAACACACACACACACACACACACACACACACACACACACACACACACACTCACACAAGGTATACAGTTTAATATCTTGATAGCCACTGTGAAATCACCACAGTCGAGATACCTAACATAGTTATTACCTCAGAGTGTTCCCACAGTGTTTTTGAAGAGCGTGTTTAAGGTCTACTTTTGTAGCGGATGTACGAGATGTTGTTGTTCACCTTGGTCCTCATGCTGCGTGCTACCTCTCTGGGACTTACTAGTCTAACTGAAACTCTGTTTGATGGCTTGCACCTCTATTTCTCCATCCCTTCACAGATCTTAGCAATCAATGCTCAGGTAATTAAGAATGTTTTTTTCTGGCACAACAGGATGCTGGAGGCACATTTTCTTGTCTTTGATTTCGTCTGTCCAGTACTAGAGTTAGCTGTTTTTCCAGATGTCTCTGTTTCCTTGGCATAATTTATCTTAATCTGCTGTGTAATTTCATAAGGTTATAGTCATTGTCGATTGCTTTTTAGGTGGGAACTTCAAAGCTGTTAATAAGCAACTTTCCAAATCCCCAAATTTTGAAGTGGTTGCACCAGAATTTGAGCTTGAAGGCTCGTTCATACTTGTGAGTGCTGATCCACAAACTGTATCCCCATTTCATAACAGAGGAACCCATCCTCATGGGGTTGACAATCTGCTTTTCCTAGACTGTTCTGCTAATTAGCCGTGGTTCAACCTGTTGAACCTAGCCTCTGTCATCACCCTGTTCTGGACACCATCAAGGGCCACTCACTTGACCTCTTCCACTCTCCTGTATGGCTGTGTTTCAGGTTTTGCTAGGTTTTGCTTTGTGAGTGTTTCTGTGAAGCATCATCTAGTGTGATGAGGTATTTCTTAGAGTGTCCTGACATCAGGCCAGCAGCATTGAGTGAGTGTGGCTGAATCAGGTGGCTTTGAGGATCTTTCACAAACAGCTTTTGGATGTTGGTAGCATGGCTCTCTACTTTGTGTTGAGTATTAGTTAGCTTCATATTACTATAGTGAAACACATAAGATGATTAACTTATAAAGGGAAAGGGGTTTTTTAGCTTATGGTTTTGGAGGTTCCAGCCCAGGATTGGAGTTAATTATGTTGAACAGGCAGTGAAAGGGAAAATCTGGCAGAAAAACTGCTCACTTCAGGTCTAGGAAGCAAAAGAAAGAGAAGAAGAGGATAGGGTCCTACAGTTCTCTTAAGGGTGCATCCTCAATAACCTAGGCACCTCCCACCAGGCACCATGTCTCAGAGCTTCTGCTACCTCCCAGTGGCACCACCCTGATGGACCTTTGGGCACTGTGCAGTCTGTCATTCCTAATTTCTCCTGCAGGTGGTGCTGTGTGACTGTGGCCTGAGCTGGAGTCTGGCTCAGAGCCTTCAGTCTGTGGTTTTAAAAATCCAGAGCTAGACACTTGTGTTTGCATAATGGCAGGCCTTATTCCTTGGCTTATGCCCTAATGTCAGATGCCCATTGTCATTTCCAGGAAAAGCAACAGTCAGACTATGAAGGGCTGGCGGGGGACTTAAAGACGGAACAGAGCATCTATGCCCATCTGACGAAGACTCTGCAGGACTCAGATAGGTAAGTTTCTCTTCAGATACCACAGCCACACCTACTTCCTGCTTAGGCCTGCTGGTTTCTCAGTTTGGGGGGGGGGGCACAAATCCCACCAGACGTAGTAAACTTTCAAAGCTGGTGAATCTCCTTTAATGGTCAAATCTATGTATTATCAATCAGTCAATCAGAATTGTCTGATTAGAGCAACAAAATTAACGTTTTAACTGAGTTTTCAGTTCTTGATTGTGTATCTAGGAAGTTGTTCCATGTGCCTTCTATGAGGAAAATTGTAATGTTATCCCTATTGCACATGATCCTTCAAAGCCAAGAAAGGTTAGGTGACTCATCCAGGGCCATACAGTTGTGTTGACAGACCCCTGGGATTTGGCCCCATCTCCATGTCTTGAAGTGAGTCATGTCTGTAGAATTGCTGAAATCATTTGGTGCATTGAAGAGTGGAGAGGAAAGGCAGCTGTGGCTGGTGATGTCGCTGTCAGCCTCCTGTCATGAGCTCTAGCTCTCTATCCCCGAGCAAGTGGCCTGTTCTAACCTCTTTTTGCGCCTCTCTAAATCATCTGTCTATCCTCAGGGTAGTTATAGTTGAAAGGCTATGGTATCTGATGTTCATTTCAAAATAGTAGAGGAACAGAGGTAGGTGTGGTTGTGTTGGGACAAGATTGACCACAGCTTCCTGGTTATTGGTCTAGGGTGTGGAGATGTGCAGAAGGGACTCCTTACTTTACTTTGTCTTTTTTAAAAAATAATTTCCAAAATTTCCATAGTTAAAAGCATGACCGTCCCTTTTCCTTCACCTATGCCTTTTGTTCTTGCTGCACTGGGCTCTTCAGTGTTCCCTAGACTGTGCAAACCTGCCTCTGCCATCAGCTGCCATTCCCTGCCCCACTGTCCTGCCTTTCCTTGCACTGTCTCATAGCATGCCTTCAGTTAGCCCAGGTGTTACTCTTGTCAGGAGGCCCATCTGATTCTCAAGTCAGCTGCCCCTCTGTGCCCTGTCCCCCCTCTCAGGGCAGGATTGTCTGCAAGGCCCAGTTCCTCAGGCCTGACAGAGCAGGTGCTAGGGAGCACTGTTTAGGAATGCCCTCCTCTAGCACTGATCCTCCAGGTTATGAGGTAATTCCCAGATTCAGAGGTGAAATGAGTGTAGATATGGCAGAAAATATGCTGCTGGAACTAGGTGTGGACATATCTCAGGAAGCCTGGACGTTTCACTCTGGAGAGGGCATGGAGTCAGGGGAGAGAGAGAACAAATTTTGCTTTCATTGTACAGAATGTCTGACAGAAGCCAGCATAGATTCTGGACTCAGACAGACTTTCTGGGTCGATGTGACTGCTCTTAAGAACTCTCAGCATCCAAATAGTTCCTAGTTTCATAGTTCTTTCCTAGTGAATAAAAACATGGATGAGACTGAAGAGGGCCAGGGCTGCAACTAATGGACAAGGATGCTTAAAAGGTTTCATACTCATCTTCAGGCCTAGATCCACACCCCAGCCCCAGCACTTAGCAGGTTTGATCTTGTGGGTTTCATCTCTGATACTGAGCCCCAGTATGTGTGTTTGTAGTGCAGAGATGGGCTGGCCTGCCTACCCTCTTAAACTAACCTTTGCCTATCTCCCTCTTAACCTGACCTTTCCCTATCTCCCAACACATTTCTATGCTTCCCTCCCTCCCTCCCTCCCTTCCTTTCTCCCTCCCTCCCTCCCTACCTCCCTCCTTCCCTCCTTACCCTCCTCCTTTCCATCCTGCCCATCTTTTGTTCTATCCACTTTCAACTTACCTGCCTCCAAACCTGCTTAGTTTATCTACTTCTCTAACTGCCTCCTGTCTGCCAGCCATGATAACATTGCTATGTAAGAAATAGTGGTTTGAATGAGAATGGTCCCATGGTCCTTGTTGCTGGAACTGTTTGAGATGGATAAAGAGCTACGGTGGGTGGGCCTTGAGGGTTGGAAACCCACACCATTCTCAGTTTGCTGTCTGACTTTTGCTTGTGTATGGTCATGGGCTCATCACTCTCTGAAACTGTAAGGTATAATCAACTCTTTCTTCTTTAGGCAGTAGTAGGCATCTCAGCGCTATAGAAAAGTAACTAAGACACAAGGTCTGATACTATGTAAACTTTAGTGCCCTCTGGCAGGTAGGAAGCTTTCAATAAATGGCAGCACTTATTAGGAATAACAACACTAAAAGCCCACCCTCCTGGTCCCAGCCTGCACATCCGTATATATAACTTTGGGGTTTTAGATCCTCAGACCTTAGAGCAGAGGACACAGTTGCAGATGAGAGCCATTGAGTTCCTGTTTGTAGTTTTATTCCTGCTCACTCTGGAAATGTAAATGTACCTATAAGTATACTTGTGATTAAAGTGAGAAAGGAAGGGATAGCCCCCATGTGCTGGGTCACTTTAGACTGGCAGTACTCAGAAGCTGGTGACTTTAGTTCCATATTACAGAATGGAAAATGCTTGCTAGGGTGTTAAGTGCCCGCTTGACTCTTGGCGAGTCTCTCAGAGTCTACTGTGAAGAATGATTAGGGTTCAGACCTTCTAGGCTTCTGAGCTGATGTCCTTGTGGATGTACCCTCACCCCAAAAATGAGTTCAGTTGTTGCTTAGCCTCAGCAGAATGGGGATATTTGGGACTGGATCTTTATAGATCACAGGGACACATAGATCATATGGTACCCACTATGTACTGAAGGCTTTATAGATCATATAGTACATGCTAAAGATGTGGGATGTCCTTCTGTATATGTTTGCTTTTATTGGTTAATGAATAAAGCTGTTTTGGCCATTGACTTAGCAGAGTAAAGTCAGGCAGGAAATCTGAACAGAGATTTATAGAGAGAGTAGGTAGAGTCAGAGAGATGCCATGTTGCTGCTGAAGGAGACAGACAGCTGGAACTTACCAGTAGGCCTTAGCCTCATGGTGATACACAGATTAATAGAAATGGGTTAATTTCAGATGTAAGAGCTAGCTAGAAATTATTAAGTTATTGGCCCAGCAGTAATTAATATAATTTCTCTGTGATTATTCGGGTCTGGGCAGCTGGGAACGAAAGAGCAGCCTCCACTTACAATGTACCATAGGCACTGTAAATCATATAATGCATACTATGCACTGTAGACTTCATAGATCCATAGTACATACTATGCACTGTAGACTTTACAGATCAAATAGTACACACTATGTATCATAGACTTTATAGATCATATTATACACACTATGTGCCGTAGGCTTTATAGATAATACAGTACACACTATATACCATAGGCGTTGTAGATCATATAATACACACTATGTACCGTAGGCTTCATAGATCATATAATATACTCTATGTGCCATGGGCTTTGTAGATCATATAGTACATACCATGTACTGTAGGATGTTAGTAATATCCCTAGTTCTGCCTGCAAGCTGGTTCCACAGTGCCACATCCCAGTATGGTTGTGGCAACCACGAATGTCTTTAGATATGGCCATATGTCTTTTATAGTTGTAAAATTCTCTCCAGATGAGATTCCCTACTGTAATTCCCAAGAACCAGAATTTCTGATTCATCAGATGAAGAAGGAGGGAAATGATGTAGATTCTTGCTGAGTGTCCACCAAGCTTTCTCATGTAACGTTTTCGCTTAACCTCCAAAACCAGTTCAAAGGAAAGATGTTATTATCTCATTTTATAGCTGAGACAGCTTAGTGGACTGACCTGGGTCTATAGAGTGGGTTAGTGGCACTTCCTTCTTTTGAACTTTGTGCTTCTGCTCCTGGCCATTCCCTTCTGCGACCCTGTTTCAAGAAGAATGTTCAGTGCCTGTTTCCCTCTGAGCAAAACACCTTTGTTCTGCTGGCTACTCATACCTTGCAAGGACTCTCGAGTTGGGAAAACCTAAGTGATAGACCTGAAGCATGAGCCTAATGGCAGGAGCTTCACTAAAACTCTCTCCTTTGCTTCCAAGTTAAATGTTTTGGCAACTTGCCACATGCAAGCCAAGCCAGTGCTGTGCTTTACCTCTGGAAGGGTTTCCATCTGCTAAACAAATTGATCATTGAGATTATTTGGAAGTGAAGTAGGTACAAGTTTCCTATAGGCCCTTCCTTTGCATGGAGGCTGCTTCACAATGAACTCTCCTTGACACACAAGCAGAGAAGAGTAGACAGAGTGGCTTATTTCCTCTGGGGTGTGTGTGTGTGTGTGTGTGTGTGTGTGTGTGTGTGTGTAGATAGGTAGATATAGCTATAGATAGAGATATATTCCATTGACGAAACTGGAGAAGTGGGGCTTGAGTCTTGTACACAAACACCCAGCAATAGCTTCTAACCACTCTGGGAAAATATGATAAAAGCTTATGAGCCTTCTTCCTAGAAAAATCCATATATATACATTTTTACAGATAATTACAGAGCAGTGATAAATCCTTTCAGGGAACGGTATGTCAGATATTGGTTGTTTAAAAATGAAACTTTCTGCTGGGCAGTGGTGGTGCATACCTATAATCCCAGCACTTTGGAGGCAGAGGCAGGTGGATTTCTGTGAGTTTGAGGCCAGCCTGGTCTATAGAATGAGTTCCAGAACTGCCAGAGATATACAGAAAAACCCTGTCTCGAACAACAGAATCCAAAACAAAACAAAAAGAAGTAATCCAAATGTCAAATTTCACAGTAGGCTCAGAGCTCTGCTGTGTGGACTGTATCTCTAGTACAGGTGTCAGCTGGATCTCCGTGCTCTTCTGAGAGCTGGCTGTGCGTCTTTCAGATCATGTGGCACTTGCACATGGATGTAAGTTCAAAGCCTTCATGTGAATCTTTACTGTCTAGTAGAATAGCCATTAGCTAAGTGGCTACTTTCACTTACACTTACTTTCAATATAACAACATTAAACATTCAGTTCCTTGGTACATTAAGCCCCATTTCAGATGCTGAGTAGGCACATTAGCTAGTGGTTGCTGTAATAGACAGTATATAGAACATGCCTGTCACTGAAGAAGGTCTGTTGGACAGAGTTCCTCATGATTGCTGCGACTCTAACAGGCATGTCTTTTTCATGGCCTCACTGGGTTCTAGGCTTCTTGTACTGTGTTGACCTACATGTGAAACTCAACAAACATCCCCTCCTCCGAAAAAGCTCATTCATACCGTGCATTTCAAGCTTGGTTGAGTTAGTACAATACAGTTCTATGGGCCCTGAATTGGTCTGTTTCTGTCTTGCTGTGAATTCACATTTTCTTAGTTTTTCTTCCCCCCGGCCCTCACCCCTAACCCTCACTCCTACTCTAGTATGTCCTTTTTGATGGAATCAGAACAGAAATCTGATTTCTCTCTCCTGAAGCCTAAGTGCTGGGTGAGGGAGCCTTTTAGTAGCTAAGCCTTCTCAAGGCATTATTCCAAATAGTGGACCATTCTGGAGAATTAGATTCTTTCCCCTTGATATGTCTCTAGTAGACACTAGTAAGGAATGAGTTTAAGTAAGTGGGGGAACAATCACCTGATTTTATATTATATGCTCAGTTAAAGATGTTGCCAGAAGCTTTCACAAGTGTAGGAGACTATTTAAGCAAGAAGCACATAGTTCTCCCTTGCACGTCCAGTGGCATTGAGACTGTATGGAAAGACTCGTGGAGAAAAAGACTCAGGAGAAATAACATGTGTTGATCAGTTGGAGCATCGTAGCAATTTTTATTTTCTTTGTGCTTTTATATTTACCTTTTTCTGTAATAAACACATTTACCTTTATAACTAAAAAAAAACCAAAAAAACCAAACATACAAGTGATATGCAAGTCACAGCTTTGTTGGGCTTTGCATCTTCAAGCAGAAATCAGCCTGTTGTATAATTTCTGTTGTTTTGTTTTACCTGGTAGCAGCGACCTACAGGCTGAGCTGAAAGAGGTTCTTGCCCTGCGGAAGCAGCTGGAGCAGGATGTGCTTGCCTATCGGAATCTGCAGAAGGCCCTACAGGAACAGCTCAGTGAAATTCAGAGGCGAGAAGGTACGCACTCCTTTCTATGGCTATCCTGTTGGTTGTTTTACATGGAGGATCTTGATTGAACTGGAAGGAACCCTAGACCAGGAAGTAGTATGGCCACATGATGCTATTTGATGACTGAGTTTGCTTCTCTCTGGCTTCAGCTTTCCAGGTGGAAGGGCCTATTAAAGTCTATTTATTCTGTAGAGGGTCTATGGTAGGTTTGCATCCTGCCCTTCTATATGCATCCTTTACTACTCTGGCTCCAGATAACCCAAGGGATTGGAAGCCCCGTTGTCTGGTAATCAATCCTCATTAACTGGACTTTTCCTGCCCTAGCTCCTTGAGGAGAACCATACATACAGATATGAAGCAAGATTGCTGTTTTAGATTCACATAGGGAGGGCAGCAGGACCAGGGCCCATGGGATAGCACGACAGCACCCATTATAGTATATCTGGGTCCTCTGTCTTGCTACAAACTGGGATCCTTATAACTTGGCTTATATCTTGTTTCTTTCTGCACATCCAGCCCAGAGCTTGGCATATGTGGTAAAAACTGGTTGTTGCTCTGGTGGGTGACATTTCTTGATCCTGCTCTGTGCATAAAGTACATTCTTTTGCCTTTCCACCTCTGTTCCTCACAATCATCCAGTTAGGCAGAATAATTGTCAACTTTTCTGTCTAAATGAAGGAGCTGAGCTGGGCATGGGGTCATTGATTTGCATCATCTGACCCAGGATGTACTGCTTGGACATCCAGGGCTCTGTTCAGGAACACCAACACTGGATATGTATATTAAACCAGATTCTATTTGTAGTGGTACCCCACTCAGTAAATGTCCCCTGGCTCTGCTTCTTCTTATGTTATTAGAATGTGATATGTGCCATGGGAAGCAGACCCTGACATACAGGTAACTGAGACCTATTTGTACCCACTCTGGCAGACAGTTTTGTATTAGGTGTATGCTCTCTTCTTCCAAGAACTCTGGGGCCAGTAAAATACATCAACCATTTTCATGCTGCTTCAGGTCTATGCTTGGGGTCTTATCTATTTTCTGCATATTCATCCCTAAGCAGAACCACTCTTATTTGAACTAAAATTTTATCATTTACTTGTGCCATTAAGAGTGGTTTCCAGGTATAACACTTGATAGGCCAATTATAATTCAGGATTGGCCACAGTGATAGCCTACAGACAGTAAGAAACCACACATGGAGACATGAGCCTGTAGTGCAAGTAAAGTTACTTTTCCTCTGAAGGTCATGCTTTAACCCTGTGTGCTTCATCTCCCCTACCTGATTCTGTGGCAGTTGCTCTAGGTGGAAAACATGAGAATTGGGTTTGGGGGGATCTGTTTTTAATCCTATTTCTTCCTGTCTCCATCACACATTTTGTTTTGTTTTTATGCAGAAGAACCGTTTTCACTTTATAGTGATCAGACATCATATCTAAGTATTTGCCTTGAAGAGCACAGTCAGCTCCAAGTGGAGCATTTTTCTCAAGAGGAACTCAAGAAGAAGGTATTGACCTGACCTGTTTGCTTTTTGGATTGTCCTTGCCTATTTAGTTCCTGATCTCAGAGGTGTGTTGTTCTCACGCTCCCTTCCTGACCACCCTCTCTTTCCTTCATTGCTTCATGACTCCTCATGTGTCCTTCACATCTATATGCACATCTATATGTTTTTAAAGAATCTTTTGAGAAATTATCAGACACTGGCATTTGGAGCTCAATTGCCTTTGCACTTGGCCTAGCAATAGCAGGGCCTGGAGTTGGAGTGCTGGGCTGAGCCTGGGTACCCTGTGATGTCTTCTGTGGAGTCTGTTGCTCTATCCCTTTTGGTGTTTTGACTCTTGCTTTGTCTTATGCAGTTCTCCAAGTCCTCCAAATGTGGCAGCCCAGAACAGTGAACTTCTTTGTATCACTGGTTCTTCATTATAAAACAGCTTCTCCAACTCCCCAGGGGTTTTACAGGGAATGGTTGGCAAAAGCTCACAGGAGTTATTGCTTTATTAAGGACAACTTATATGACTGACATTGCTAACTGAGTATAGAGAGAAGGAGGTCTCTGCTATCAAGGAAGCTCTGATGTAGTTGGAAAAACTCTAGCTCTGGCATATCTTTCCTTCAGAATGCTCAGACACAGACAGAATGGTGTTAGCTGCCATTGACCAAGTGCCTTAGTGAGTTGTGCCTGTGATCATGTGAGTTCTCATTCTGTAGACCTATCCTATTCTAACCTTGCCTAACACAGAAGCTGAGGCTAGCTCAGGTCGCCTGCCCACAAGTTGTACTCCTCTGCCTTGAAGTGAGACCTCTATCTCTCTGCTCTTACCTCCAGGTCAGTGAGCTCATACAGCTTGTGAAGGACCTGCACACAGACAATCAGCACCTGAAGAAAACCATTTTTGATCTCTCTTCCATGGGTTTCCAGGGAAACGACAGACTTGAGTCAACAAAACAAACAGAGGTAAGAAGAAATGTTCTTGCTGTTCTGTGGTCATTGCAGAAACAACCCCCACCACCCACCCCTTCCCCTGCTTTTTAAGACTATCTGTCTGAGGGAGTTCTTTGAAATTCTCTCTGCTAGAGTAGAGTCTTAAAGGTCCGGTTGATCATTAGGTCTGTCCACAGGCTTCCTCCAGCTTAGATCATATCTTAACATTAAAGTTGGGTATCTTATAATGCTGTTACTATGGCCTAGCTCTGGGTATTTGCTGCAGGTGGCATATCTGGATGAGTGGTGTGGTCTCAGAGTTGTTTGTAGAGTAGCTATGACTCCAGAGAGCATGGGTAATGTGGATGCAGCCTTGGAATATCCATAACTTAAAGGAAGATGTCTACACACTCCACATGGCCTCTCACCCTGGTCACTTCTAGGTGTCACTGCTGGCCTATGTCTCTTTTCCTACATTTGTAACCATGCTGCACAGGGAAGGAAGGACCTTGACACTGTGTTGGGGGAGGGAGACGTTGCCTTCCTTTAGCTTGGCTAACCCATTTCTCCTGTGAAAGGACCTGGCTCCATATGTGCATTAGCATCATTTCTGAAACCAGGGTTATTTTGACCATTGGTGCAGAGGATCTTTCTGTATCAAAGTCCCTCAAGAACAAAACTGGGCTTTTCCTGAAGTGTCAAGTCCATATAGGCCTCATATCTGAGGCCACACTATTTCTTGGGAAAGGTTTATGGGCTGTCTCTTCCCACCTTCCCAGTGGGAATTGCTCAGAGGCACTGTATTTATGCGCTGCTTTGGCCGTCTGCTTTCTTTGAGACAGGGATTATTATTGATCTTGGCCTCCAGGGCTCCAGATAATTTTGAAAAGCAAGAGCAATGGCAAGCCACTTACAGGAGAAACAAGTCTCCTAGCTTACTTCCTCTGAGGCTGTGTTTTTAATAAGCAGCTCCTTCTTCACTAGCTCCATTTGAGCTGTAAATGCCGAGTTTTGTTTGTTCATTTGCCCTTTGAAAAAAATCTGTTAAATGTCCCATTATGTCCTTTGGAGAACAGAGGCCTTTTCCTCTGCCCACTCTAAGATCTTAATACCAGTCAATTCAGATTTGAGTCATTTGTCAGATTGCCCTTCAATTTGATGTTCCCTGAAAAAAAAAAAAAGACTTTTCCTTTATACCACAGTTCCCTTGGCTTTCCCCAGGACAGGATAGGAAGAGCTGCATGGAAAGATGATTATTATTTGAAACTGAGGGAAGAAAGGGACATAGGATGAGGTGAGATGGCAGAGGGTAGCCTGCTATTCTCTTGGAGGGTGTGTGTGTGTTTCTGTCTTAGGGTTTTTATTGCTGTGAAGCGGCACCATGACCGCTACGACTCTTATGAAGAAAACATTTAATTGGGGTAGCCCTATTAGAGTTTCTGAGGTACAGTCCATTATCATCATGATGGGGAGCATGGGAGCACGCAGGCAGACATGGTGCTGGAGTAATAAATAGCTCAGAGTCCTACGATTTGCAGACAACAGAAAGTCACCTGGCTCACTGGGAGGTATCCTGAGCACAGGAAACCTCAAAACCCACCCCACAGTGACACATTCCCTCCAACAAGGCCAAACCTACTCCAACAAAGCCACTTCTAATAGTACCACTCCCCCTGACATTATGGGGGGCCAATTACATTCAAATTACCACAGTCTCCTTCCACAATAAACAAGGCAAAAACGGCTAGAAATACCTATATTATCCACAGCTATCTATGAGCAGCAGGATTTACAGAGTGGAAGACAGAATATCATTTCTATTCTCTTGGATGTTGTAAATCAGAAAACGAGACAAATGGGGGAGGGGAGGAGAGATTTTAGAATATAGAGAAATGTCGCTTAATCCTGTTGCTTTAAAACAGCATAATTAACATTCATAACTTTGCCTTCTGGTTGAGCTACTTATGTTGAAATGCAGTTTTCGTATTCTCATTAAATCATAACATCATTTTCCATCTTACTAAGGAACTAAAGTTTAATGGCCTAATTCTTATTGGATACATGGATGACTTCAAGAGATTGTTGCAAATTGAATGTTTGTACACAGGTTTTGTCTTCCTTTTTTGTCTCTAAGTTGTTTCCTTAGGTTGTATTTCCAGATATGTAATTACTGATAGTTGGAGATATGTAGTACACATACAATTTGTTTTCTGATACCTTCTCCCAACAACTCTTAATTTGATAAAGGTGGGAGTTGTTTAGAGACCTTATAAAGTTTTTCATGTTTCTTTCCAAAATGACTGCCCATAATCAGAGCCATTGCATCAGGACCTGAGGATACACATTGCCCATATGTGGGTAGCTTATGTAGAAGCCATCCATGTGACCAGCTATCCTGTTTTCTTAATGAGCTTAATTATAAACGTCTCAACCGAGGTGCCCCTGCTTGTGTGTGTTTCCAATTATTATTGATGTTAGAGGAGTCACCATCAGATGGGATAATTTCAGCAGGACACAGTTAGGGTAGTGAGTGTTGAAACTCCTGACATGCAGCATGTGGAACTGGCGACTCTGGATGAGGGCATGTGAGGGAAGGAAGCTGGCAAGATAACTCGCGAAGGTTAGTGGTTACTGTCATTTACTTTTATTATTATTTTGTCATTCTTATACGTGGTCAGAAACTTGAGGATGGGGGGACATGGAGATAGATAAAAGAGCTTAATTTAATTGAGTTCACTTATTAGTAGGGCTGTCACATTCATCAAGAAATGGACCTTGTGTAACTCTCAAGCAATGTCTTATAAATTTTCCACTTGGCAGCCCCTTTTCCCCCGAGGAATTTCTACACAGTCTCAGCCATCTAACTATACATAGCTCACAGTTTCTGGTAATAAATCATAAAGAAATAGGTTTTAAAACAAATCTTTGGTGTACATATAGTTTTACCATTTATTAAAGGCAGAAGCAAATTTATATGCTAATGAGATGGATGTGCTTGTTTATTTTTATTTAAAGACTTAAATCTTGCCTGAATATTTATAGTGCAGGGTGTGTAGCATCTTCTACATTTCTCAGAGTTGATTGATATTTTGATTTTATAATATTAATTCTTTAAATGTTGCTTCATATAAATGTGCAGTACAGAAAGTGGAAGTACGTTTAGAGACTATTTCAGAAATTGTTGGACAGGACTGGAGAGATGACTCAACAGTTAAGGATGCTTGCTGCACTATCATGAGGACTAGAATTGGGAGCCTGTTATTTATGTAGCAAGTTGAGTGTCCTTAAACACCTATGAAACTGCTGACTGCTGCATGCACACAGGTCCATGTACCCACACACAAATACACTCATGTAATAGACACACTGATAAATATGCACAAGAGAATGAAACTTAAAAAAAATTATTGGTAATTCTGATTACATTTCAAGCCAAACTTTATTTAACAATTTTTACCTTTTTTAAAGGAGCTGCCACCGAACTACTAACAATAGTAGTTTTCAAATCAGGCAGTATACAGTATACACATGGGTGAGCCGTTTCGTGCTTATACTTTGAGGAATGGTAATAAGAAAATATCAAGTCTATTTTCTGCAATTAATTCATGTGTCTATAAAAACAATAAAGTATATGTGCAGGAATTGCTTGCATCTAGTAGTCGCAAATCTGAACCAAGGTGTTTCAGGCAGTGGTAGTTGGTATTGCACAGGGTAATGACATGCACACTGCATGGAACCTGTTCTGGCTGTTCAGAATGAAGGTTGTGTTGAAGTTGTGTGATGCAGTATGGGCAGTTGCTACCAGAAACCCATTAAAGTTTGAAGTAACTTTGGTTGCCATGTGTTCATTTTTGAATGTTGCCAGTGTTGTTGTGGCCCTCACACTCAATGACTCTCTATGGGCACTGCATAAGCCAAGCATGTGATGAGTATCTGCAGTTGCAGCGCTGGGGAGTTGGAGCTGGAAGGGTCAGAAGTTCACAGTCATCTTCAGTTACATAGTGAGTTTGAGGTGAGCTTGGGCCACGTGAGACCCTGGCTCAAAACAAAAAACAAACAATAACAAAATTAAAGTAGACTCAGTTTTCCTGTATAAATATATCCATTAAATGTCAATAACACTAACACAACATTCAGACCATCATATAAGACTTCAAGCCATATTTTTTAAAAGCCATTTTTCTTTTTTAATTTGATTATTTTCTATTGTATAATTATTTTCTGTTGTATAATGTAAGTAACATAATTGAGCCATCTTAATTATTGTAGGCATTAATGGAGTACTGTGTGTTGTTTAGATTCCTATGTATACTTTTTAATGTTTAAACTAAGGCAAATGTGTTTAGCTCATCGAGCATTTTGTCATTCCTTTAAGGTTCTTTCTTCTAGTTTCACGGTATGTATGTTATTTTATCTGTAGGCGTCTACCGTGGAACAGCTCATGTGTTTCTCTAACTATCCACTGTCAACCTCTTCCAAGCCTTCTCTTGGCTCCCTCTCCTCACTCTCACTAGCCTCTAGAAACACAACTTTCTACATTTCAAGACTGACTCATTTACAGTCCACTTGAGTGAGAGCATGTGGTACTTAACGCACTGCCTAGACCTGTTAACGTTTTTTACCTGTCTATCATCATTCTGCTCCGTATTTTCAATAATTCAATGGAAATTGTAAGAATCGATGTATTTGTCCAAATATCATGCTTATCTTTAACTAGCATAAATGTCTTAGCTGAAATTTGTATTATAATTATTTATTTTGTTAGTACATGTGTGTGTATGCTTTCATGTATGCATGTGCCACAGCCAAGTATGGAGTTCAGAGGACTACGTGTAGGAGTTAGTTCTTCTCTCTACCCCATGGGGGCTGAACTCAGGTTGTCAGGCGTGGTGGCAAGTGCCTTAACCCACTAAGCCATCTCCCGTGCTCTCAACGAGTATATATTTTATAGTTACTTTTTTTCTTTGTCATGAAAGAAAAAAGCTGAAAGCCTATATTTGCTAAGTTCCACAAATATATGTACCTGTAAACTCCTTTCAAGATTCTCCACGTCCCTTTGTGTCAATCCCCTGCCTCATCGGCTCCTCTACTCTGTCTACTGTGTTTTTATTCTCTGTTAAACTTTTAATTACAGTCATAGTGTGTCAACTCTACACAGCATAATCTTCCTGAAATTCACTCATGTTGTTATAAGCTAATAGTTTCTTGTATCCCATTGTTTGAATGTATTAGTGTTTGCTCGTCATGCTGTTAGACTCATGGACAAAAGGGGATAGGTGCATCAGTATTTCAGAATATTTTTTCCTAGTGAGCACTAGGAGTAAGTTTAATATTTTTATGCTTCTACAAGCAAGTTTAGTAGCCTTGTTTGGTCCTTATCTCCTAAGACTATCTGTAGGGAAAAGTAGTATACACACATACTCCCAACACTCAGGAGGCAGAGGCAGGCAGACCACACAAATTTCAGTCCAATCTAGTCTATATACTGAGTCAAGGATATATAGTAAAATTTAATCCCTTGTCTCCACTGCCAAGGATTCAAGAAAAATGAAGAAGCCAATAGAGCAAGGGTGCCTCGGTAGTTTTGTAAACTTTCATGTTTTAGCAAGTTTGTTAACATCAGCCAGTTTTCATGTTTTGTAGCATTGTTGGATATGAGTTCTGTTCATCAGATCTGTTTGATCTTGATTGTAGTTCAGATGTAGCAGGCTAGAGTGTTCTGGCCTTGAGAATTTTCTATAAAGTAACATTCCAGATCAGTTTGTTTTGTTTTGCATTTCTTCCTCTGAGAGGAAGATAAGGATTTCAGCTGGACAGGGAGAGTTAAGATTACAATTGTCTGATGGAAAGAACTCATAAGGTGAAACTCATGGGACGGAGCCACAAGTATCACATACACACAATTGCCCAATACCTGACCCTAAGCTCAGTGGTTTTCCCACCTCCAGCTAAGTGATGATGCATCAGCAACATGAGATTTGATGTGATTTTTGGAATAGGTTTGATTGACACACTTACTCAGCATGGCTACCTTGGTATATATCGAGTGCCTCTTGGTTATTTTTTATGTCTTCCGTTTTTGTTTTAACTTTTTATTGATTCTTTGTGAATTTTATATCATGCGCCCTAATCCCACTCATCTCCCTGTCCCTTTATATCCACTCTCCGCCCTTGCAACCTCTTGCTCCCTCAAAAAAACCCCAAATAAAATAGTTTAAAAAAATTAAAAAATATCTTACCTAGGAAGCTGTGGTGTGTCTTGGTGTGTCACCCAGTCTACACTTTTGACCAAATAGCTGTACATGCAAGTAAGTGTTCATTGCAATGAGTCATTGACCTGGCTCGAGGTCTCCAGAGGCTTCTGTTACTCTATCAATACTGGATCCTCACTGGGACTCCTCTCAGATATTCTGCTGTTGCCCCATGTCATGGAGATCTTCCAGCCCTTGTATATGTTCCTGCAGTTCTTAGATGGAGTAGAATTTGGCCCTGGATCTGGCACTGGGTGGTAGCTGAGTTGACCAGCCCACCTGCCCTCCTGTGCCAGTACCAACAGGGCCAGCTCTCCTTCTTTGCCCAGGTAAGCTCCCCTGCCTGTGATAGCTGACAAGGGGCAGGACCAGCGCTCCCATATTCATACTATCAAGACCAGCTCTCCCTCACCCACACCGCAAGGGCCAATTCTTCATCACTACCCTGATGACGGGCAGGGCCCTAGTGCCAGTACGGGCAACGGGCAAGGCAAGCTCTCCCACAAGCACACCTCTATGGCCAGCTCTCCCATACTGCCCAGGCAGGGGATGAGTCAACTCTCCCATTAGCTTCAGGCAGTGAGGGGTGGGGCCATCTCTCCCATGCCTAAGCCACCATACTGCCTGCAAGGGAATTCATGTCTTATGACCAAAACTTTGGTTGTTTGGAGAGTTGGGCTATTGCTTTCCTGGGAACTGAACCGTCCATTCTGGGGAACTCAGAATGCAGAAACATTGGGACTTTATAGTTTTTAAAGAATTTCAGATTCATTCAGTCTCTTTTAAGTCCTTCATTTCCAAAAGTATAAAGTTATCAGCAACCTGACACTCTTCTCATTAGAGATGACTTTTTGTCATCAAAATGACAATGTTACTGGGACTGTCCATGTCACATGTGTGACATTCTAACAAGAGGTTTATTCCCAGTGCTAAACAGGAGAAGTGATGAATAATTTGGGTGCACCATGAATTTCATTTTCTGCTTTTTTTTTAATCTCTGCTATTTTCAATTCCATCAATAGCTATTTTCTAAAATCTTGTTACCTTTCTATAATCCAAAAGTGGATTTAGTAAAGGCAGAATGGCAGTGGCAGGAGAGAGCATGCTCAATTTATAGCCTCACATGAAGAGTTTGCAGGGCTAGGGAAAGGCCCCCAGTTATTGGGGGGAGGGGGAGATTTATCCATAGCCAGTAGCTCTGACTTAGTTAATTTTTATCTCATGACTTTGGCATTTGTATCTTTGTTTGTTTGTGTGTTATTGTTGTTGTTGTTATTGACTGGCTTTTTTTTGAGAAAAGACATCACTGATTTGTTCATACATATTCATACTGGACACTTTTGTTGTTGTTGTTGTTGTTATTGCATTTTTCATATAAATCCATGCTCCATATAGCTTCTGGCTAGCAGAGAGGATGAAGGCACAATCAAAATTGAAGCAGATGATGAGAATCATTTCCAGAGTGACCAGCATTTAGAGCAGAGTAATGAGGTAGAAACATAGTTTATTCCTTACTTTGTCTCACCCTGTGTCCAAATCAGTCTGCTATCTGGGAGTATGTGTGGTTCGTTTTCTGTTTATTCTGCCTGCATTGTGTGTCTACTTTATGCCAGTGGGCATCAGAGAAACTGGTCTCTTTTTTTTAACAGAACTTATAAAGTGGGGGATGGAGCCAGTCATGAAACATAGTAGCTGTAGAACAGTAAGAATTGACTGTTGGACCTGGATAGATATTTAAAGATCTAAGTCACCCTATTTGTTTTATGCATTGGAAACCGGCCTTTGAGAGGAGATGATTTATTGAAGGCACAGATTAGGATGCCAGTGATGGAAGTAGGGTATGAATTCTTGTGTCTGATCTCTTAGAAACTATCAGGTCATCTGATTGAAGTGCAAGTGGACCCTGATGGAACTGAATGACTCTGCAATCTCTTGACCCTGTAACCCAACTCAGTATTATTCTGATCATTAACCCAACCCATATAGAATCTTCTAGTCATGTTGCTACTGAACAAATGGGCTAAACAGTCTACAAGCCTAAAAAAACCTTAAATATTGAGATGTGGTAGGATATAGATGCTGCAGCTTTGATTGAGATGTACTAAGAGGTGCTGTAGGTGTGGAACTTTAGGTCTCCAAGGTATCCCACGTTCACAGAGTCATGAGTGGGCAATAACTGATATGGATAGTTTTGGAGCACAAAGTAATGAAAATGGATGCTTTGGAATCACATGAACCTGGTTTTGAGCCTTAGCCATGTCACTCCTGCCTCTACCTTTCTTGCCTAACCTCTGAACTACCCTTCTGTGTAGATTCTCTCTGATACTGAAACCAAAAGACATGTCATTAAGTGCTCAGCAAATAATAGTAATGTCTGCTTTTATTACTATAGTATATTTTTTTTCCTTTTTTGGAGATTGCTTATTTGATGGATTTAATAATTAGAGTGGTGACAAAAAGAACCTATATAGAACAGTTCATTTGTGTGAATCTTGTTTTCCATTTTAAAAAAAATCTTTATCATTTTTCCAATGTGGAGAGATGGAGCGATGGCTAATGTGTGTATCACTAACAGTAATGAAGTCAAGAGAAGTTATTTATAAACTGGTTGAGGAAATTACAGCTTTGAATAGGGGAGAGAGGATGCTAATTGTACCATCTTGGGACATGCCCAGAACAGCCTTTAACTCGAAGTCTCTGTGGTAGCACTCCTCTGGGAACCCCAATGGCCCAGGAAGGTGAATCTGTAAATAACATCTCCATGGGAATTAAGAACTTTCCACCCTCCTAATGAGATACATCAAATCCCTGTTAATTAGTGTCAGTAGAATAATAATAGTGTATGTATCTGTAGCATAAGTAATAATATTATGTGAAACATATGATAACTGTCGAAAACATGATTGAGGGCATTCATTTTGCGTCCTTCTTAGAAAGAATTTCCAAGGAGTAGACTGTGGAATGGGAGAACATGCATCAAGGGGGCACCTGTAGTGAGTCAGATACTCACCCTAACTTGGTCATCATTTTCATAGCAAGATGTATGGTACCACTTTAGAGTAAGGAAATTGATGGTAAGGAAAGGGACGTAAGTGCCTGCCTTCCTTAGCATGAGTGTGAGTGTGTGGACTTGCAAGCCTATATCCTACCTGTTTTTTTTACCTTGTTTCTGCCTGTGGACCAGTACTCACTTCCCTGTAGCGCTTTCTTCTTCCCCCATCCTTCCCATTCTCCATATACCTCTGTTTGACCACACACTTTCATTTGTAGATCATGGAGGACTGCGTCAAGAGTGACTGCAAAAATGAATATTTAAGGCATATGGATTCCAATATTTTAGACCATGATGGAGCCAACACACCTGGTATCTCTGGAGACCAGAGCCTGGAAGACAAACTCGTAGGCCTGCTTGGCACTTTGTTCCAAAAGAAGGCTGCACTGTTGCTGGAAGCCAGGTAGACATGGGCCCAGGTACCTCTTTGTTTGAGGAGGAATACACTTACGTTGCTAAATGGAATCAGATGTTGGTGTGCAGTGTACCTGAGAGCTCCTGAAATGGCTGGGAAGGAATCTTGCCAGTCGTGCAATTAAGTAATTAGGCTGCTTGCTGGTGGCTGTGAAGGGACTTGAGCAGAGCCACACTCAGGCCCATTACAAAGAGATGAGAGAAAGCTTTTCCCCAGAATTATTCCTGTGAGTCCCAGAAAGCTGCCTGACTGTCAAGAGCTCGAGGAGTCAGCCCTCCTGGCCTCTCCTCTGGTTTTGGCATTAGCTTAAAAACACCACTGTAGTCAGAACTCCGCTGTTTTATGTTAAGCTTGAACTAAATTCTCTCCTCAGTTTATCTGCTGGGAGTTGTTCCTATTTGGGGAAATACTACAGGTTGTTTTCCTGACACAAAGAAGGAGAAGCATTAGGTATGTTTGTATTTTGTAAATTAGTCCTTTATGAGCTGTTTCCTCTTTCATGTTTCTTCTAGGCCATCCTTGGCAGTTGTGTGGCTATGAAACCAGGAAGAGCTGTGCTATCTTTTTCTCAGTACTTCAGTTTTTCTGACCACTTCTCAGGGTTGCTGGGTGGACTTAGAAAAAAAAATATCGAGGAAAATTGGGTATGATGTTATATATTTCAATAAAAGCTCTCAGTTCTGATACAGGCAGAAAAAGTTACTACCGCTTTGTTTCTTAGCAAGAACCAGATACCCTAGTCTTTCTTATATCATTGCAGTACTAAGACTTGGAGATCCTTCTCCTGAGATGAAGGCTGGAACATTCTGTGTTTGGCAAGCTTAGTGAGACCCAACCTTTTAATTCCTGATACCTAACATTTTCTAAGGATGAGTCTTGGAGGGACATACCCAGTTCATCTTCAAAGGGAATTGGACAAGCATAGCTGGTACCCAAGACTAGAGAGTTTCTGAAGTCTCTAAGTAACCTACCTTGTAAAGTTTGAAGTAGAAGGTACCACTGTTCCCCCACTGTGTAGGACCACATGGGAGTATTCTTGGATGCTGTGAGCTGGGGACCATGGTGAGAACAAGGTGGGTTGGGAACGTGTGTTTGCTTCTAGTGGACAAGCTTTTCTCCTCCAGCTAGTTGTCAGAAAAACATGTGAGCATCAACATACATCTTCAATATTGGTATTTTTAATTGAGTTGTAAAAATTCCAGCCTAATCATGCTTTTAGAGAAGGCCCTTTGTGAGCCAGCACTGAAGGCAAACCTGTGATGTTTATTCTTGAGTACCTGCTTTCTTTTGCAGTTGCCTATCCCATAGGCTTCCCAGCCACCAGCAGCTACAGCTCCCCTTAGAAAATGCACCCTTGATGTAGGTGGGTCATCTGCCTATGTGTTACTTTCATTGGTTAATAAAGAAACTGCCTTGGCTTTTTGATAGGGCAGGATTTAGATAGGTGGAGTAGACAGAACAGAATGCTAGGAAGAAGGCAATGAGTCAGACGCCATGCTTCTCCTGCCCAAGATGGATGTGGGTTAGGATCTTTCCCGATAAGCCATGACCTCGTGGTGGCATACAGATTATTAGATATGGGTTAGTCAAGATGTGAGAGTTAGTCAATAAGAGGCTGGAGATAACAGGCCAGGCAGTGTTTAAAAGAATACAGTTTCCATGTAATTATTTTGGGTAAAGCTGCTTCTTGCAGCCCACCGTTCTTTTTACAGAGTGGCCCCCAACAACTCTGTAGTAAGAGGGAGCAGAGGGTTGTGTCCCGCCACCCGGCTCACGGTTAGCTTTATCCGAAATAATTACACGGAAACTGTATTTATTTAAACACTGCCTGGCCCATTATCTGTAGCCTCTTATTGGCTAACTCTTACATATTGATTAACCCATTTCTAATAATCTGTGTAGCACCACTAGGTGGTAGCTTACTGGGAAAGATCCTAACCCACGTCCATCTTGGGCAGGAGAGTCATGGTGACTGACTCATTACCTTCTTCCCAGCACTCTGTTCTGTCTACTCTACCTATCTAAATCCTGCCCTATCAAAAAGCCAATGCAGTTTCTTTATTAAACAATGAAAGTAACACATAGACAGATGACCCACCTACATCACACCCTAACTCTGCTTAACCTTCATTTCTGAGCACTATTCTTCCCTGTGCACTACTGAACCAATGATGGCTTGGTGATGATGCCAAGGTCCTACTGAAGACCTGACTTGTGTACATGCTCTAGACAAAGCCCTGGTTAGCTTTACAGGCTCAGCTTTACATGATGTGGCCAGTAATCTTTTTACAAGGATAAGGGAAGGTAGCATTTGTGGACCTAGCATTCCCTTAGCCATTAGAGAATTCTCTGGGGGTGAGGGAGTGAGAATTATTCAGTATTCTCTTTGGTCATGAAAACACTAGTCTTATACCTAGAAATTTTTACTAGAAGTGGGATGTTTTTGTTGCTTTGAAAAAACAACAAAAAAATCAGTCTTTGAACAGAGCTCCTGCCTAGCTCTGCTGTTCAGATCTCTGCCATCTGTCTCCATCATGATTTCTTCATACCTAGCGATGATGGTACTTATCCCCTAGGAATTGTAAAACAATGAAATAAAATAATGGATCTGGAGTATAGGTCTGTGTAAGCACTAAGTAAAGTTTTGTAACTATTGCTGCTTGAGTCTTGCATTGTAAGGGTGAGTGTGCCAGTGAGTTTGATGATTATCTGAGCTACATAGTAAGACCTTGCTTAAAAAAATACCTTTCCAATTAATGTCGCCACTCAGCCCAGGTAAGACGTTATGAATACCATATATAGGTACAACAACCAGCTATTAATGTGTATCTCTGTTCATTACTGAGCCATTCTCTGACAACCCCAGTACAAAACTTTGATAGACTTAGGCCTAAAACTTCCCCTCAGCCTTTGAGACTTTCTCCTTTCTAGCCATCCATGTGGAGAGAGAGACCCCAGAGTGACTGACTCCACTACCTCCTAGAACGGAACAGGAAATGGCTCATTGGTTGTTGTGCACTTCCCTGTCTGAGCAGCTCACTGTTGATGGTGGATTGAGAAGGCCAGGGCAGCCTGCCTTGTGGGATGGGCAACACTCCCTTCTCCTTTTCCTTGGCATTCACCTTGAGTGGATTCCTACTTCTCGCCTTAGATGTTTCCAGTTCACTCTCTAGCAGAATGGTTCAGAATTTCTTCATCAAGAGTTTTTGGTCTCTGTAACTCAGTGTTTGGTGATATTTGATAGCTGAGATGTTGTAAAAAAAAATGTGAAAGAGGAGCACTAGGTAGGCTTGAAAATTGTTCTTGAAAGGCTCATTCAATCTTGAATTCCAGTGGACTTCAGAAGAGGGTCCAGTTCCCCAGATGAGGTTTGATTCTGTGGCTGTGGGCATAGCTGAGAGATAGGTAAGAACCCAAAGAATGTGAGACTGGCAAGAGGTCTAAAGGCATTGGAGAAGTGACCAAAGGGACTGGGATAAGATTAGGTTACCAGGAGAAGAGTTGGCTAGTGTTTGGAGGTACATTTTATAGTTCAGAGGTTATAGATACGTTGGGGGTTCTAGATAGGGATACCAGGGATACTAGGGTTGGGTTCTGTCTCCACCTTCAAAACCCAGGCTGCGTCCTCTCCAGCGCTAGCTTCCATCATTTTCACTATGATCATTGCAGCAGGCTTCTCCCATTTGGGCATCACAATGCTTCTGGCAGTCATTTAAAAATTCAGTGTGTTATTCTACCTAGCTGTGTGTCTGGGTAGCCCACTTCTTAGCCGTTTGTGCTGCTCTAGCCTTGCTGTCTTCTGCATAGGCCACACTGCCCATCTCGATATGGAGAACAAATCTCCAAGTAGCCTTTGTTTCAGGGCTCTGGCACAGGCTGGTACTTACACATGTGCTTGTTTCTTCGTCTTCTCTGAAATAAGCCGAGTCCTCTGTTGAGCCCCAGCCTTGGCTAGCTGCTCATGTTACCTGTGTTTCTAGGTTCTGTGTTCCTAGCACTTATTGTGTATGGCACATCATGGAACTGTTTTGCAGGTTCTCTTAACTGTACTGACTGATGTCCCCATTTCATTCCTCAAAAAGATAGATATAATCACGTTTGAGCCACCGTTTCAGTGTCAACTGCAAACGCTGTCTTATGGTAGAAGTATCCCTGCTGCTATCCAAGAAAGCCTTCCCCATGTGGATTCACTTCTGACCTCCTAGCTCCCTGTTTCTTCTGAGTCATTATTTTTCCTTTTTTTCTGAGTCATTTTCATAAACATAATACACACCTGATATTAGATACTTAGGAAGGGTGCCCCCTTCCCTTCTGATTTCACATCTATTTCAGCTACTGTCCAATTTCTTTATTCTCATTCAGGCAACATTTCTCAAAAGACTTGCTGATATTCACCACCCTTTACAATTCTCTACCCCCATCTTAAGAGACGTCACAGCCTTTGCCTCATTTAAGTCAGTAATAGTTTCTAAACTGTGAAATCCATTCGCCAGCTTTTTGACAGCAGCTGGTCGCTCTCAGCCTCCTTTGTTAAAGGATACTGGTGTATCTCAGAGCCCTGTTCTTGGCCCCTTTCTTTGTTCCTCCACTCCCTCCTGCTGTTGGAATGGGTTACATGACTCGGATTTCTGTGTAATGATCCTAATAACTTTGCTGGAGACCTCCCTCTGCCTATGGATCAGATATTTCAGTGCTGACCTAAGACCCACATGGTACCACTCTGCTGCTTCTCTAGTCTCTGTCATGTTTATGTCCTGCATTGCCTAATAACTGGAGCCTAAAGTTACAAGCTCCTCAGTTCCTAAAGCCCATAGCGAGTCCTCATGGTCACCCTCAGATTAAAACCCAAATTCAGTTTCTTCTGATCTCCACTCTTACCTTGTCACTGCCAACATCTCTTATTTGGACTTCTGCAACTGTGAAGTCTTCTTATTTACCCTCTTGTTCCCATTTCTACCTCTCTGTAGTTTGTTCTCCATAGAGTAGCC